TCCTACCATCGAATACGATGCTGGAAAAGTCTTCCTTGTAATGTCAACATTGTAACTGTGATTTTTGTTGTCTGTTCGCTGAGACATTTTCCAATCAACCCCAGCTGGCGCATCATTGACTAAAGAGTAAGCCTTGGTAGCTTCAAACCTTGGCATCTGTGTTGTCCATTCATTGGGCAATTTGCCACCTCCGATCAGTTCATTTGAAAAGGTATTAAATGCCCGTATGACTGGCAACGGTAGAACAAACACAATGCGGTTGGTGCTGCATCCCTCCCTGGGTAACCTCCAGCCGGTATACTACAAGTTTGCTGTAAACTATGGCGTAGAATTTGTACAGATAAACTGACCTTTAACAGTCTGCTGCACAGTTGGCAAACCATAAGCAGGTCCTACTGGGCGAAGTTCTGCCACTATCGAATAAGTGGCCTCTAGCAGTTGTACACTCGGCACATAATCACTCCCTGGATGCATGCCCAACGTGCGATCTTGCTTCACTCCAAATTTGCCAAATCCTGTTTGCTCTAAATTGTGGCTCAGACACTTCCGTTGTCCCACGTCTGGGGGGTAGACTGTCTTGGACTCGGGCCAATACTGAGGCAAGAGGTCTGCTATGGTGCTTAAGTCTGCTGTGCCAGTTTTGTGAATATTCAGATAATCCTCTTTATTCTGGTAGCTTTGCAGATTTCGATTTCAGTAGTGTGTGCTCTTGCTGGTCGGTGTAGCTTGCAAGTTTTGACTTCTGCTAACTCGGTCCAATATTCCATTGGTGCAGGTCAGGCCATGGTTCACTACTTAGTTCAGGTTGTTGACCTTTAACATTATTCATCTGGCACACTATGGTTGCTGATAGTGCCTCAATTTCCTTACCCACACTTTCCAGTTCTGTGGTCAGGAACTCACAGAACTAACTTTTACCTTGCGAAGATGACGTCAAGGATGGGTATACACCATAGGTCCTTGGAAAAGCCATTATTCAACCACTCGGAGTCCAGCCGGCAGTTCTGGCTATTCAGGTGGGTCAGGGTTTCCAGTTGAAATTCTGTCTCCCTTTTTGGCCAGCTCTGAACTTCTTGCTCTACAGACAGCTTGGAGTTTCCGGCTTGACTTCTTTCTTCTTCCGGCCAGCTTAACACCTCTGGCTCTCCGGGCGATCTGGATTTCCTGCTGGAGTTCTCTCTTCTTCCGGTGGGCTAACACTCTGGCTCAAACAACTACTGTTTGCCTAGAAAATGCTTGAAAACTATAATGCTACGCAATGCTTCATGCAAATTCAGAATATCAACGACTGAAATATCCCACCGCTGCCACCAATGTAACATGAACTTAGCTGTCTAGGTGGTTTTCTGACGCTACTTGACAGGGCTTGGAAAAAAATAAGCAATAGGTGTCAAACATGGGGGCATTTCTTCGCTCAAAACTTCAAGAGACTGACGGCGGAATACCTAATTAGGCAGAAATACTGATCCAAGTAAATGAGACACAAAATGAAATGGTACATGTCGGAGACAACAAATAACGTCAAAGAACAACATGTTGGTTTATTCGGACAAAAAGGCAATCACTCAGAGCTTGTCAACGGTGTGTGTGTCTACCATGGAGGCCAGGCCAGAACTGCCTCGTGTGTCGAATGTGCAGGTTTCATGCAGAGGTAAGTGGCTCAAAATAAACAATGCTATAAAAGGTCTTATAATAGACGCACTAAGACTTTGTTTTCTTTGAAGGGCCTAGCTTTCTGTAATACCTGCAGCTCTCTCACGAAGGTTTGATTCATTCATGCATGGTGATCGGCCACCCATTGGTCATATACATGTATATGCTTCATTATTCTCCTCTTTCCAAAACCCAAGTACATGTAGATGGTCTACCGGTAGCCTTGGTTTTCGTCCGACAGGAAGGTACAATGTAGGTAGCCTGTCGAGGAATAAACTGTAAAAATCTTTTTTTTTAATTAAGTTTTACTTTCAGTTTTGTTACTGGAATTTCCAAGTCGTTTGGACGTAAAAAACCAGCCACTGTAAAATTATACACGCATCGTTTAATTACAGTTACAACATAACAGCCCTGCTGTTGTAATTTTACATCAATGGCTTGTAAGAATGTGGAAGCCATACAACAGTAAATTTATGTCCATTCGATTGTAAATCTACAGCTTTTCAATTCTATCGTTATGTCAATAAAGATGTGAAATTGCTGCTTCAGTAAATGTAACTTCCCATTACATTCTGTAAATGAACAACTCTCATGCTAGTTGAAGAACATAACCAGGCCAGTGTGTCTAAGGGTCCAACCCGTCCTTTGACACAATCCTCAGGATGAAATTACAGCATTTTGAATTAAAATTACAGAAGAAGCATTTAAAATTAGAGTCCTTGTGATGTAATTTCACACTCAAGTTAAGTAGAATAACAGACATTATGCTGGTGGAACAAGGTGGACTGTCCAGTAAAATTGAGGGCGTGTCTACATTGTTTGATGCCATTGTATAATATTTTGGGACCCACTCCAGTGAGTTTATGCAAAATTGCTTTGAAAGTCCTTCATTAGTGCTGGTCGTGCATCAAGAAGTCAAATAAAGCTGTATACTAAACGGAAGACAGAAATAACCCATAAACATCAATTCGCACAAAAACCTCAGTTCTCTGGTGTCAATTCCTTTTAATTGAACTTGACAGAAAACTTAACATAATTCACACTGTATGACAAGATGTTTAAATGCGCTTCAAGAAATAATGAGAAACTGATAGGTTTGTAGATTTGCCTCCAAAACCAAACGCTCTAGCATAGTTTGTATTTTACTTTCGGAAGCAATTGTGACTTCAAGCTCGGAAGTTATATTTTTCATTCGACATACTGGTAAACCTTTATGCAAATTTCTTCTCATTTGTGGGAGATCTTGAAACTGCTCATATCAAATATAAAACTTTGTTAAACTCTGCTGAATTTCTCGAATCGGTTCAACATTATAAAACAGTTTTTTAAAAAATACCAAAACAGTGGGCTAGTCTAGTTCTTTTCAAGTTCCAAGTTTAGCGCAAAGACTGAACTTATTGGGAGGGAACAGCACTGGAGAACATGGGCATGGGATGGTTAATGTAAAAAGTAAATTACAAAATAAAATGATGACTTCTGACCATAATTGCTTATAGAAAAATAGAATTTATGCAAAAATAACTTAAATGAATATAGCTGGTTCATTGTTGTAAAAAAACCATAACAATTTAATGTTTAACAAAATAATTTAAATTTAATTTGTAATCAGGAGTGTTTAAAATCTTTAATCATTTTGTAAACTTACTCACTGTATTTACCAACAACTGTGCATTATTCTTGTTAAATTTTTGCCCTCTAGCCAGTTCAAAACCTCACACCGAACTTGGTAGTTAGGAACTGTTCAACTATAACACTGTAAAACACAAGAGAGAAGAACATTGGCTTCCAGGCTTTTCTTGAAATACAAACATTTGAGATCTCCTTTTTTTGTTTACATTTGCAGGAAATTAGGGGAAAATAGTAATACAATAACTAAATGCCGAACTTTTCAGCTTCATTAAAAATATATGTGTTGTATTCTTTTCCAGAGCAAAATTTCCTCTTGGCAAACATTTCAAAATTTGATTCACTTCTTTGTTTTGTTTTTAGACTTTTGCATCCTCTTCCAGAAAAATAACACCTTTTCAACATTTCAGAGTTGCTTTACAAAATGATAAAAAGAGGGCAAATTGTCATGAACAATTTGGAAGTACAATGTTTAATAAAGTGTTTCTTATCCAAACCCTGTTATAAATGAGTTACAGCTTCTAGCTTTGCATTCCCCATTTACTGAGAGGAGTCTTGTTTGTTACTTTGAAAATGCTGTTTGGTATAGGTTTACCTTTCCTTGGAAAATAATTTGGATCTGTACAAGGCCCCATCCAAAATACCTCTGCTTCCGGTTTTCCGACCGACCCAATTTTTCGGTCAAAAGGCAGGACAGAAATGCAGCATCCAGTCTAAACTAACAGTATTGTTACACATCTTTGGCAGTACATGCATGAAACCCTACAGCTGCACGTCAAAAAAACATTGATGTTGCAAGAATGTTTCTGCAAGTTAATTCACAGAACTTAGTCTGTTGTCTATAAGTGTGTTCGGCGATGTTCACAAGTTAAATTTGAGGTTGCTTTGCTCATACTTGAAGCGAGTGAGCTTAGGTAAAATTTCCTACCGTGGCACAAGGTCTATTGCTAGCCTGGAGGCATCATGGAGGCTTACCAGACTATACAAGGACACTGCTTGCCAGTTGCCATTGTGATTATCTGATTAGCATCGTCTATAGTGGTGTAAAAGTACATAATTTTGAAGAATTTTTGACTGTAGGAATTTTTACATAGAGTGAGGCAATTTTTTTCCCACCTTTTGAGGCAATTTTCGGTAGCTGTCATTCTCACTCATGCCAAAAACTGACCCCTCCAAATTTCTGACCTACCAACCCTACTTTTAAGAGGCATGTACATGTAATCGGAAGCAGAACAGTTTTTTGGCCTAATAAGTAACAATCAGTGTCAAGCTTAACAAGTAGAGGACCCATTCATTTTCGACATTTTTCAACCCATTTGCAAGCATGAAGACTCCAAGGTGGTCTTCTCCTGCTTGCTTTCAACCTGGTAGATGGTTTTAGGCCTAGGAAGCATCTGCAATTAAAGGACAATTACAATGTAAACTTGGGATCATTGACTGAAGGTTTGTAACTGTACTGTTGATAATAATTTCAGCCCTGGTCTAGAGTGTGTCTTAGTACACTTATAGTAACAAATATCCAATGAACAATGGAAAAGTACACCAGCAATAACACTCCATGGTTTCTCTATAATGAGACCTTTTTATGTGAACCATGTTTTTTGACAACCCACGACACAACGAAATTGTACATTCTTATCATTTTGGAGTATTTGATAAGGCCTTATGTGGGCTCTGATACTGACACTCTTGCTATGAAAATATGCACTTGTAGGTCCTACCTTGATTTCAGTTTGACTGTAGCAGAAGATGGGATGACAATTGAACAATGCATCAACGCCAAACCCGTACTGGGATGGGACCCTGTGTACAGAGCAAGAAGAAATGTAAACAAATCAGGCTTGCTCAATCAAAATTTCCGTAAGGTAAAGATAAGCTTAGCAGCTTATCTTTACCTTACGGAAATTTGATGTACATCAGCCAAGTCTCAGGTCTTTAATATATTTCAGTTTTCTGTGTACTGTGTACAGAAAATTCAATCCAATACTGTAAGGCCAGATTAACATTTTGGTTGATCATGTCCATTTTACATACCCAACTACTTAGGTTATTTAGTTCTGCCCGTATTAAAAAGTGCCCTTTTGAAAGAAGTGAATAGTTTTCAGTTTGCTTCTTTTGATGTACATCGACTGCGATAATTATGCTTTGCATTCATATATATCTAGGCCTATAACTTTACTGTGTTAAAAATAATACATGTTAATGGCAGGGACTTTCATTTACCAAGGGAATACGTGTAATAAGCCTTTTGCGAGTTAAATGTGAATAAAATTGGGTACACTGAGTTATCCAACTGCACATAACCATAACGATTTTAATTCCCCAGACTAAGGACACTGTAATACCGACAACAGTGACTGCCATCCCTGGAATGGACTGGTCATATATTGTGCCCTTTTTATCCATTGAAAACATTCTATTGGTGCAATGCCTCTCAAAAGCTTGCCCCGAATCACAAGGTATGGTAACAGTGTCATGTATATTGTAACGTGCCGCCAACCCTCGCACCTGTTGAGGAGTGCCACCAGACGGATGCTGGAGATTAGGCCTTCCCGACGAACGTCTACAGGGAAAACCCCGGGACATAATTTGTTTGGGGAGGAATGTACCCCAGGCACCGCAGTGCATCAGAGAACACTAACACTCACTAGGCCTAACACACTGGTGTAACTTTTAGAATGGTTTATTGTGCCTGTTTAGACAATGCCTACGCCTTCAAATGCGATTGACTCCTAATAGGCATCAACTTGTTCTAGGTTAAATATTAACGTAAATCACAGTTTGGCGAAGCTAACTGGCCCACTCACCAGAGCAATGCCACGTTACCAGCCTGCTGGGTCCCCTTCCACATGCAGCGGAAGGTCGCCAAAACTGCTTACAACACTACTTGAGGTAGATAAAGCACACAGAGGAACTCGATGAGCAAGAACACGGTACACGGTGCATGCCTAAGTGGGGGAGATGTGCATGGTGCACGGCACTGCCTTTTATACTAGTGGGCTGCGCAAACCACTGCATCGAGTACCAGGATGAGACTAGTACTAGGTCTATCTATCCAATGTTTTGTTACAGTATGGAGAATTCAAAATTGTTATGTTCACTTGAATTTAAAGAACTCTTTGTACCAGCTCTATTCAAATTTAACTCACAATTAATCCGATTTACCGGGTTGCAATGACCACCAATGACTGAGCATTAGCTGTAGGTCGTACGTTGGTCAAGGCTAAGGCAAATTTCAAAGAAACATGCAAAATTTTTAGGTATCTAATCAAAATACCATACAATGCTATACATATTTTAAAAGCCACGTAACCGTACCTGAGGTAGCGAAATCGCAGTTGTGTCTGTAGAAACTGGACAAGACTCATTTCAGGCCGAGCCGTGACAATGAATAATAATTGGGGAGTTTCTCTTTCCTCGCCTTCCACCTCTGGGGGCCGATATGTTCAAACCCGGCACAGTCAACATGTAGATTAGGTTTTCAGTCCCTACCTGAGTCCATGGGTTTCCCCCGAAAAATGAACATTTCTTCATTGTCTTCTTCACTCATTATCCTGTAATTGGCGCTAAATACACTGTTGGATGATCAGATACATAATAAAGAGTAACTTTTGGCCAACCTTACGTGTTTGCATACAGTACGTGCTAAGTTTCTTGCCTCTGGTTCCCATGTCATTGAGTCAAGTGTGCATACTGTGACACAACAGAAGGCGCTAGGCGATGGCATGGGATAAGACTACAGATGCCGCTCTGCACGGTAACAGAGGGTTCCAGGCCAGTAAATAAACTGCCATGGCCAACAGTGATAAATAGCCGAACTTCAAAAAATCAGGAAAAATACTCACGAGTTTCTCAGGCATTGAGATGTACATCAAGTTAAAGCCCAGTTTATGATTGTTCATTTTTTCAAATTTCCATTCATTAACCGATAATTTTTGAAGATATTTATTTCCATGGAAGATCACCATTAAAATGTAATCGTGAAGCCATTTTGAAATATCGATGCCTTCACTTCTCGAAAAACAGACTGTTTTCAGGTGCCAATTTCTTCCAAATCTCACTCAAACACAAGCTGGTATTCTCTTTGCCCACCTAAACTTGTCTTTTCTACAAACCTTCAAGTTCATTGGCCACAAAATGCTCTAGTTCATAGAGATTTTGAGTACATACTGTTTGGTCACATGTAGCATGCACGCAGGTGTAGCTGCAGGAGGGGCCGGCTTGAGAGGCTATATAAGGCACACAGGGTTTGTGTTGTAGTAGAACCTTGCATCCTGCTGTAGGAAACCCAGAGCTGTGGTTTAGGCAGAGCAGACAACTGAACAGGAGTGTGGTAAGACTTCATACACGTTGTGTATAAGGTGGCGGCCCTTACCGACTCCCACGATCCGTCATTTTGTCCAGGTTAGTTGTTAGTCTACGTGCACTAAATCGGTCATGTCATTAAGTCCTCCTGTCCCAAGTCACCAATTAAAAGCACCCTTTATTGGTTTCTGGTTTGAGAAGTATGGAATAAACCAATATCAATTTGTTGTAAACAGTGTCAGGTGTCAGAGGTCGTTTATTTTGAAGTCATTATCGTCCCGGTTATGTTATCAAGCATTGGACTAGTCAGGTTAGGTTTTGAAGATAGATGTCATCTAATTTTCTTGGGTCTCTAAGCTACCCACTCAGGAACCTTCTGGTATGTGCCGTCCGCACCATGCCCCAAGGAGGAGGGCGCCCTCGCCGCCGCTGGAGGGGCGTAACACACAATACTCATAACACAACAAGGACAGGTTAGACTGGTTCAAAAAACGTAACTGGTCAATGCAAAAAATTATGCGTACATCGGTATGTGAAATCGGGGAGGCATTCCCCATGTGCGCTTTACGCTGATGCAGTGTAAATTGACAGGATGTACACGTATGTGTGTGCCAAGTAGAAGTTTCTATTGCTCGAATCAAATGCACGAGGGCGAAGATTTGCAAACCAGTGGTAGTTATCCTGGCTGTGAGCAACAATAATAAAAAAAAGCTATATTTATAAAAAGACGTATAGGAATGTGAATAAATGTAATAAAAAATTATAATAAAGTAAAATAAAGTTTTAAAAAAGAATCATGTGAAACAGAAAGCTAGCAAAAACGTACGTGTTGCATTTTCCCTCTGAAAAATATCTGTAAAATGATCAATGAATTACATTAATATTTGATAAAAAAGGCGTTTTTAAACAGCACTGATTTCAATATATGATAGCCAACAACATACATTTACAGTTTCGTCTATAAGAACAAGTCATTTAACAGTACGCTAGTTTTTACCAGAAAATGTGTTTATTCACATATAAAATGTTGTTAAGCCACAAATAATGGCGTAAATCTTTAATTTTACGGGGAAAATATTGTAATTTTACAGATTTTTTTACAATGTTGGCATTGTATGCAAAGATCAGCTCTCTGAGGTTTTCCTGCCATCTGTGCTTCTGGTCAAAGGAGTGTGTGGAGGGGACCATGTATGGTGCGGTTAAAGCTCGAACTCTCCTTTTCTTTCAGGGTGGTATGACCTTGTCCTGCTTGTGGTAACACCATACACCTCACAGAGTTCAAAGATAACTCTAATCTCGAAATTTCTGTCTTGATCACTATGAAATCTGCAAGGAACCCCGAATGCCACAGCTCCAACATCGTAATCCTTGCATAGTATGGCTGCAGTAAACATTTGTGAACACACCAGGGAGTACACTGAAACTTTACTTAGTCAATCATGGTGAGAAAGTCGTCAAACTTCAAGAAATCAATTAGTAATGTAAGTAATTAGTCAGCTGATGTGTTTGATGTGGGGAATAACAAATTAAAATTTATGTATTATGAATTGGTAAAGTTGCTGGAAGGATATATATGTAGGAAGGAGTAATTTCAATGGCGATCTGATCTATTAATCCTAAATTGAGATACAGACATCTTCATGTAAAGAGGAAATCACAAATGAATTTTACAGGGCGAAAGTCTTTTAGTTTTTTAGATTACTATACTATTATAGAATAAAGTTTGAATAACGTTTGCCTACTTTCGTTTGACGAATTTTGGTAGCCGGATTTCCTACCCTCGCCCAGTTGAGAAGCACGCACAAAATGAATGGGCGCCATCTCCCTAGCTTTGAGATAATTGACTATGAGCTTATTGCTCCAAATTTTTTATAACCAAGTAGGTATAAGTCTTGGTGAGAAGGTTGCCTCCTTAGTACTGTTTGCATTCCGTTCGTTAAAACGTTGAAATGTTTCGCAAGTCATCACTGACTTGTGTACTCTGTTGGTGAGGGTCCTTTACATCATCGTTGTTTTCCTGTATTAACTACTGATTGATCAGCAGTGTATTGTTGTACACTGATAATTTTGATTGTCTACAGTTGATTTGCATTTAGTATAATTTTTGCACATACACTATTCCACTGCATATCCCATTTCTATCGAATTTGATATTTGTTTTCTTTAAACTATAAACAAACAGAAATATTTCTCATGCTTTTAGACTTTTTTTACCATTGAACAGGAATTTTTTTCAATATTTGCTCATGGATTTTTTTACTCACTACATCACAGCGTTCTCGTAAACAATTAGATCAATAATTTAATGTTATGGTGTATATTCCTGAGGATGGGTTATTCTTGTTCTATTTCAGCCAAATTTATGGATTTACATCCTTGATCATACATTATTATCGCTGGCAACAGCAATAATGGGGATTTAGAATGCCATGCACCACTCGTTGCCACAGAGAAGCCTTCTTCATTTGTGGCCTTTGGCATTGTGGGAAAACGGTCGACAAAAATTATTTGCACCAGCTAGGCTATGCAACGGGTATTTGATATTCTTCCGCTTTTTTTGTCTGGGTTGAGGATTTGGAAATGGTTAGGGTATAAGTGTTTTTAAATATAAAATGGTGTTTTTGTGAGGCACAGAATGTTCCTATCAATCACAGACTTCCTCAAATTGTTGATGGACATTCGCTTGAATGCAAATCATGGCAAGTTGGTCATTCTTGTTCACCTACACCTTGAAAAATGGCCTCTCCATGACAAACTCCTGGTCATGGTGCACTGTATTGTGAATCACCCGTATTCAAGATACCGGCAAGGTTTATCTTTTCTAATGATATAATATTTCCCTGTATGTCATTATATCTGAGATTGTTTAGGCACTCAATACTGTAATTTCAATGGTTATAGATTGTCTGCATTATTTGTATTTTACATTCCATTGTGTGATTTGCATTTGATATTTTTTCCAATGAGAGTACACAAAGGATTAGCAAAGATAAGCTGTCCGAGTGTTTGGATTCTTTGAGAGCAGATTTCCTTTTAAACAATTAATGGAAGTGACAAAGGTCTTAACTAAAATTCGATAAAGCTACTACAAAAATGCCTTAACACACTCAGACCTAACTGTCCGTGTTTTCTAAACCCTCACTATGCCCAATCATACAAGTGCATTTCACTGAATAACTAGATTTCTATGCGCGACCTTTTTGGCTAATTTCACGGGTTGCTCACAATACAAGGTGCCATGTTCGGGACCATCCATAAAAAAACTTCCATGAATCAGGAATTTTTTACTTGTGGCTTCCAACTTGGGGTATTTTGTTCACCCAAACTCCCAACTTGTCAGGGCAAATTTTGCAAAAAAGGTGGGTGGCTACGTTCTGACCTGAGCACATATTTTGACTAATATTTTAGGGGTATTTTTGGAGAAGACTGAATAACAAAAAACTGAAGCTGAAATTAAACAAAAAAAATTTCGATTATAATCTTGTGTGTAGAGACCATGGACAGATTAGCTTGAGATGTCCGTTGTGTACCAGAGGCACAGTCTCTCATTGTTTGTTGGACCCCCCTTTTTTTTAAGTAAGCCTACTTCTGTTTAGTGTACAGTGAGTGCACTGATGTGGGGTGTGACATGGAACAGCAGTTGGGAAACTACCTGTTGCATAATCTTTCCTGGAAGCCACATGGGCCTAGTGCACGAGGAGTTGGAGTCTTTGTCCTCAGCTGAGTCATTCTGACTCTACATTTTGAAGAGTGAACATCGACTGCAACACCTCAACTCACTAGCGTCTGTAACCTGGAAAAAAGAC